CTGTCTAGCGCGGGAGTAGCTGTCTTTGACCTTGACTTTGATGCTATTCTTGCTGCCATGTATGCTGTGACTATTAGTGATGAGGGTGACTGTTACCGGTGTTTTCCGCCCGACTCGGGCATTGAGACTGCCACTCTAGGTACTGGTGAGGCTGCTGCTCTAGGTGCTAGCGAGGCTGCTGCTCTAGGTGCTCGTGCGTCTGCTCCATCAGGTGCTGGTGAGTCTGCTCTCTCAGGTACTGCGTCGGCTTCGGCCTCCCACACCTTCACCCTTGACTCAGGGGCTTCTCGCTCCTTCTTTCGAGACCGCACCACACTCACGCCGCTTGGCCGGCCAGTTGCAGTCTCTCTGGCAGACCCCCCTGGGGGTCCTGTCCTTGCTCACTACTCCACTGTCCTCCCGTGTCCGGCGGCCCCCTCTGGCACCCTGTCTGGTCTTTACCTCCCCTCGTTCTCTACGAACTTGGTGAGTGGTGCTGACCTACAGGATGCGGGGGTTCACCAGTTCACTCCTACGCGTCACCGGGTGACCCACTACACGGACGCTCGGACAGGCCGACACCTGGCCACGTTTACACGTCGATCGGGGTTGAGCCTGTACACACTGACCACTGCGTCTCCTCCAGTCACTGCGTCTGGTCAGGTAGCTGCGTCGGGTCAGGTGTTTGCTGCAGCGTCCAGGTCTGGTCCTGAGTCTGCCCCCTGCTCGTGTCGCCTTCTATCTCACGAGACTCTCCTCTTGCACCACCGCCTTGGTCACCCCTCCCTGCTTCGTCTCCGAGGCATGGCCTCCCGTGTCCTTGTCTCTGGTCTTCCCTGGTCCCTCCCTCCCCTTCCTCCTGGGCCTGGCCCTACCTGCATCCCCTGTGTCGAGGGGCGCCAACGGGCTGCCCCTCACTCCTCCCAGTTACCTCCGACAGAGGCCCCGCTGCAAACGCTTAACATGGACATGTGGGGCCCGGCCCGCGTCCGTGGACAGGGTCACGAGCGCTACTTCCTGCTGGTGGTTGACGACAACTCGCGTTACACCACAATCTTCCCCTTGCGCAGCAAGGATGATGTCACTGCGGTGTTGATCGACTGGATCCGCGCAGCTCGTCTCCAGCTCAGGCAGAGCTTCAGCTCGGACTTTCCTATTCTGCGTCTGCACTCTGAGAGAGGCGGAGAGTTCTCCTCTGGCCTTCTGCAAGCCTACTGTCGTGCACGAGGCATCCGCGAGACCTTCACGCTTCCGGACTCTCCACAGCAAAATGGGATTGCTGAGCGCCGCATTGGCATGGTCATGGATGTCGCTCGTACGTCCATGATGCATGCGGCTGCTCCCCATTTTCTGTGGCCGTTTGCGGTTCGGTACGCGGCGCATCAGATCAACCTTCACCCCAGGGTCTCCATGCCGGAGACCTCCCCAGCTTTGCTGTGGACGGGGAAGGTTGGCGATGCGTCTGCGTTCCGTGTCTGGGGATCTCGGGCGTTTGTTCGCGACTTGTCTGCGGACAAGCTGTCCCCTCATGCTGCTCCTTGCGTCTTCCTTGGCTTCCCCCCTGACGCGCCAGGGTGGCAGTTCTACCACCCCACCTCTCGCCGTGTTCTGTCCTCCCAGGACGTCACGTTTGACAAGTCGGTCCCCTACTACCGCCTCTTCCCCTACCGCACTCCGTCCCTCCCCCCGCCACCGCTCTTCCTTGTGCAAGGTCCCCCTCCAGTAGACCCCCTCCCCCCTCAGGGTCCTGCCCCTTTAGGTGTGTCCCAGGTAGACGCAGTCGAGCCTGTCGAGGTTACTGGTGACTCTGGTGCTGCTGAGGGTACTGAGCCTGGGGGTGCTGACTGTGGGGGTGCTGAGCGTGTGGGTGCTGCGCCTGGGGGTGCTGAGCCTGCGGGTGCTACTACTGGGGGTGCTGAGCTAGGGGGTGCTCCGACTGGGGGTGCTGAGCCTGGGGGTGCTGAGCCCGGGGGTGCTGCGACTGGGGGTGCTGAGCATGGGGGTTCTGAGCCTGGGGGTGCTACGCCTGGAGGTGCTGAGCCTCGAGGTGCGGAGCCTGAGGGAGTTGGGCCTACTCGTGTGGCGTCTGGCGGAACTGGGCCTGGAGGTTCTCCGGGTGCTTCGTCTCGACGGGAGCCCCTCTCTCCATAGGAGTTGCGTAAGTGGTTTTCCCGGCGCTGGAGGCGTGCTGCTGGAGCTGGAGGTTCTCCGGCTGCTGAGGGTGCTGGTGCCGCGGGTCCCGGAGGTGCTCAAGCTGGCAGTACTGGAGCTGCTGGGCCTGCGGGTGCGTCTGGAGCCGGAGGCTACTGCTGTCGGTCCTGGAGGCGGTCCTGCTGGGGGTACTACTGGTGCTGCTGGAGGTACTGGAGCTGGAGGTGCTCCTGGCGCTGGTGCTGCCGCTGAGGGTGCTGGTGCTGTCCCTGCTGTGTCTGGAGTCGCCGCGCGGCCTCGGCCGTACTTCGTTCCGCTCCTTCAGAAGGTTCTTGGTCTCCCGCCTTCTACTGGTCCTCCTCCTCCCTTAGAGTGTCCACAGCCTGTCTCGTCACAGTTACAGTTACAGCCGGCCTCCCCGCTGCCTGCTCCTTCTCCCTACACTGGTCCTACTGGAGGTCTTGCTGAGCGTCGTGAGCCTGTGTCTCGCCCTGCATCGCCTGTCCGTCCTGCTCGCACTGGTGGTCGTGGTTCGCGTCAGCGTCCTCCTCCTGTCCCTGGCACGCACCGGATGTCTCTGCGTCCGTCCACTGCTCTTCTGCGTGCCCCTTTGCCTTCTCCTCCTGAGTCCTCGCTTCCTGCTCTTGCCGACCCTGAGTCCGAGTCTCTTCGTGCTGCCAGTCCTACTGTCACGCGTCTCCTTGCTACTGTCGTCACTGACCCTTCCTTTGAGTCCACTGCTGCGTCTGCCCTAGTTGCTGAGCTCGTCGACTTTGCTGCTCGCTGTCGTCTAGACTACGCTACTAGTCTTGTCGTTGAGTCTAAGTCTGTCTGTCCTCTGTCCGACGAGGGTGAGTGTGTCCTTGGCACGGACGTCCTTGAGGACAGGCAGGAGGAGTTCCATTGTTTGGCTGGTGCTTCACCTCATCTCGTGTCCGTACTGCTTACCCCTGAGGGAGACCCGGATGCACTTGACATCCCGACACCGCGCTCTTACGCGGAGGCGATAGAGGGTCCCTACTCCTCTCAGTGGCAGGCAGCTATGGACACAGAGATGGCTTCCTGGAAGTCCACAGGCACCTACGTTGACGAGGTTCCCCCGCCTGGGGCGAACATCGTCAGTGGCATGTGTATTTTCAGGGTGAAGCGACTGCCAGGTTCTCCGCCTGTCTTCAAGGCGCGTTACGTGGCTCGTGGCTTCAGTCAGCGGCAGGGAGTTGACTACTTTCAGACCTTCTCTCCCACCGCGAAGATGACCACTCTTCGGGTAATGCTGCACATAGCTGTTCACCGCGACTACGAGCTGCACTCTCTTGACTTCAGCACTACTTTCTTGCAGGGCAGCCTGCACGAGGAGATCAGGCTGCGTCGCCCACCTGGCTTCACTGGGTCTTTTCCTCCTGGCACCCAGTGGAGCCTCCGGCGGCCAGTCTACGGTCTCTGCCAGGCACCGTGTGAGTGGCACGACACACTGAGGACTACACTTGCGGCTCTTGGGTTTCCTCCCTCTACTGCTGACCCGTCGCTGTTTCTTCGCACCGACACTTCTTTACCGCCGTTCTACATCCTCGTGTACGTCGACGACTTGGTCTTTGCCACAGCTGACACTGCTGGACTCGCCCACGTGAAGTCCGAGCTGCAGAAGAGACACACGTGCACAGACCTGGGTGAACTGCGTAGCTACCTTGGCTTGCAGATCACCCGGGACAGAGCATGCCGCACCATTACTCTGACTCAGTCACACATGATGCAGCAGGTCCTTCAGCGCTTCGTCTTCACGTACTCCTCGCCTCAGGCCACTCCTCTGTCTACTCGCCACTCGCTCTGAGCTCTGCCTTCGGATGAGTCCGTAGAGTCGAGTGGCCCGTACCCAGAGCTTGTTGGCTGCCTCATGTACCTGATGACCTGCACTCGACCTGACCTTGCATACCCTCTTAGCATTCTCGCACACTATGTTGCTCCTTGGAGACACAGACCGGAGCATATGGCTGCAGCGAAGAGGGTGTTGCACTACTTGTGCAGTACGTCGGGCATGGGGCTTGTGCTTGGAGGGCAGAGTCCAGTGGTCCTCACTAGGCACGCAGACGCTTCTTGGGCTGACGACCAGGCTACGCAGCGATCGTCACAGGGTTACACCTTCAGCCTTGGTTCCGGCTCTGTTTCATGGCGGGCTACCCGCTCGTCTTCTGTTCTCGGCTCCAGTTGTGAGGCTGAGATCTACGCCGGGGCCATGGCTGCACAGGAGCTTCGCTGGCTCACCTACCTGCTGACTGACCTCGGAGAGCCGCCTCGTTCTCCTCCAGTGCTGTACATAGACAACAAGGCCATGCTGGCCTTTTGTCGAGAGCACAGACTGGAGCACAGACTGGAGCGTGGTCAGCTGCGTCTTGCGTACGTGGCCTTTGAGGCCAACACTGCGCCTTGTGATCATCAGCGCTTCTGTACTCAGCTGGGTCTTGTGCCTGCCTTGCCTCACTTGCTCACCTCTTGACCTTGCTTGTACTGTTACATATATATATACACCTGCTCTTGCTTGTCTAGCCTTTTATATATATATGTACTCCTGCATGTGAACTGGCCTTGACCTTGTGCTCGGAATGTGTGGTGACTTTGTGATCCACCCTGAGCTTGCTTTGCTTGACTGGTCTTGTGACCCCTTGTACTCCCCCACTTGTGAAAATATTAGGTGTGGGGCCTAGGCTTAGTAGCCTAGGCCCACACTAGGAGATAGGTAAGTTCGAGTGGGTTAGGTGAGAGTCGAGAAATTGGAAGGGAAGTGAAGTGACTAGCAAGAGTTGGGATACAAGTACATTGCCCTAAATTGGGTTGTACTCATTACAGAGTACCCCACTGCAGGCTAGACAACAAATTTATTCTGACACACCCCCATAGCCAAAGTGGGGTGAAATCAGCAGAGCAGGCAAAGCAGTACAAGCTCAGGGTGGATCACAATGTCACCACACATTCTGAGCACAAGTTCAAGAAGCAATAGTTAAAGTGCACAATTATCAGCAAAGCTAGTGGTGGTCACAACGGGCAGGTGAGGAGGAGGAGGGAGAGTGAGAGGAGAGGAGATGGGAGGCGACTGCTGAAGCTGCAGACACACGGGCAACAGGAGCGGCTGGCACAGTGGCTACCGGGACAGCGCCCCGGACTACTGGAGTAACTGGCTCGGCGGCTACGAAGAGCGGCAGGAGCAACGGACCCACGGACGACAGGCGCAGCAGGCTCACTGGGCTACCAGGACAGCGCCCCGGACTACAGGTGCTGCGGACTACAAGACGGCAGCCTCCGCTCAACCTCCCACAAACAGTCCCACCCCCCTGACACACACCCGCTGCTACACCCCTAGCTCCACTCCCACGCACCCCCCTTAAACCCTAAACCCCAGTCTCCCACACAACCACCCCCCTCAGTGACAGCTGCAGCAGTGGGAGACGACGGAGGAGGAGAAGGAAGGGGCGACACAAACGGAGCACCCCCACACCCGCAAACGGGGGGGGGGGGGGGACAGTGCGCACGAGGGCGCAGACAGTAGCAGAGCGCACGGGGGCGCGAGCACGAGACACGGGCAGCAACAGGCACGGGCAGCACAGGCACGGGCAGCACAGGCACGGGCAGCAACAGGCACAGGCAGCACAGGCACGGGCAGCACAGGCACGGGCAGCACAAGCACGGGCAGCACAGGCACGGGCAGCAAGAGGCACGGGCAGCACGGGCACGGGCAGCACAGGCACGGGCAGCACAGGCACGGGCAGCACAGGCACGGGCAGCAACAGGCACGGGCAGCACAGGCACGGGCAGCAACAGGCACGGGCAGCACAGGCACGGGCAGCACAGGCACGGGCAGCACAGGCACGGGCAGCACAGGCACGGGCAGCAACAGGCACGGGCAGCACAGGCACGGCAGCACAGGCACGGGCAGCACAGGCACGGGCAGCACAGGCACGGGCAGCAACAGGCACGGGCAGCACAGGCACGGGCAGCAACAGGCACGGGCAGCACAGGCACGGGCAGCACAGGCACGGGCAGCACAGGCACGGGCAGCACAGGCACGGGCAGCACAGGCACGGGCAGCAACAGGCACGGGCAGCAACAGGCACAGGCAGCACAGGCACGGGCAGCACAGGCACGGGCAGCACAGGCACGGGCAGCACAGGCACGGGCAGCAACAGGCACGGGCAGCACAGGCACGGGCAGCACAGGCACGGGCAGCACAAGGCGTACCGGGTCCAGGGGCGGCTTCTGGGGTCCAGGGGCGGCACCTGCAGCTGGGCGGCGGTAGCTGCTGCGGTAGAGCGGCGGCGGATGCTGCTGCTGATAGAGCGGCGGCTGCTGCTGCTGGGTCGGTGGCGGCAGCTGCTGCAGGTCTGGCGGCGGCTGCTGCTGCAGACTCTGGCGGCGGCTGCTGCTGTAGACTCTGGCGGCGGCTGCTGCTGCAGGCTCTGGCGGCGGCTGCTGCTGCAGGCTCTGGCGGCGGCTGCTGCTGCAGACCCTGGCGGCGGCTGCTGCTGAAGACCCTGGCGGCGGCTGCTGCAGCAGGCTCTGGCGGCGGCTGCTGCTGCAGACCCTGGCGGCGGCTGCTGCTGAAGACCCTGGCGGCGGCTGCTGCAGCAGGCTCTGGCGGCGGCTGCTGCTGCAGACCCTGGCGGCGGCTGCTGCTGTAGGCCTGGCGGCGGCTGCTGCTGCAGGGCGGCGGCGGCTGCTGCTGCAGGAACTGACGGCGCCCCGCGGGTCCCGCATGGGGCGTCGCGACGAGCAGGGGCGACGCCCCGCGGGTCCCGCACGGACGTCGCGACGAGCAGGGGCGACGCCCCGCGGGTCCCGCACGGACGTCGCGACAAGTAGGGCGGCGCCGCGCGGGTCCCGCACGGACGTCGCGACGAGCAGGGGCGACGCCCCGCGGGTCCCGCACGGACGTCGCGACGAGCAGGGTGACGCCGCGCGGGTCCCGCACGGGCGTCGCGACGAGCAGCGGGGAGGGCAGCGCGCAGGCCCCCCGAGGGCGCTTCGAAGGACGGGAAAACCGCCGCGCGCCCCGAGCGCACGGCGGGATGAAAAAACTCCGAAATCCTAAAAAAAAATTTCGCCGCGCGCTCCGCGCGCGGCAGGAAGAAGGACTGCAGCGGAAGCATAGGGGCCCACAGGCCAAGGTAGAACGGGCTCTGATACCATGTGAAAATATTAGGTGTGGGGCCTAGGCTTAGTAGCCTAGGCCCACACTAGGAGATAGGTAAGTTCGAGTGGGTTAGGTGAGAGTCGAGAAATTGGAAGGGAAGTGAAGTGACTAGCAAGAGTTGGGATACAAGTACATTGCCCTAAATTGGGTTGTACTCATTACAGAGTACCCCACTGCAGGCTAGACAACAAATATATTCTGACACCACTTTGCCGATGGGGATGCGTCAGAACATTATAGCTTATGCTTTTGTGTAGGCTGTAGTGGGGTAGCCCATATGGGGTACAACCCAATTAGGGTTAGTACTTGTACCCAACTCTTTCATTGTGCATTCATTCTCGTTTCAGTTTTCTCACGAACTTCCAGAAGGACTCGCAGTCCTTCGCGCACTCTGCAAACGGGACAAGCGCAACGGAAGCACGAGATGGTTAGACACTGGGTGAGGTACATGCATTCAATAGCGCGACTTGAAATCCTTCAACACGCACCTGCCGAAAGACGTTGGCCGACCTTGGTCTTCACCCGCATCACCAGGTTCCAGCGGTCACGGAAACGCTGGCTCCAGTAAGAGCTCGCGTTACACTTCTTGCCGGGGTAATGCTTCTTCATCCACTCGCGGCTCCACTTCTTGGTGTCCTTCACCGAGATGGCCACCCCGTTAGCGCGCTGAAGGCAGATGTAGCTGTACAACGCTGCCTCCATGTCGGGGTAGTGTGAGTGCCCCCCCCCCCCCCCCCCCCCCCCCCCCCCCCCCCCCCCCCCCCGTGCATCCGCTTGCGGCAGTTAGCCGCGCCCTTGTAGATGCCCGCTTCCGCCTCCGCACACCAGCGTCTAATGCAGGCGATGGACGCGGTTGACTCCACGCTCGTCTTCTTAAGCTTCTCACGCACAGTCCAACTGCGGCGCTTCTTCGTAGTGTCTTTGCTGCGAGGGGTAGGTGGGCGGGTGTTGGGATTGTGGAGGGTGGGGTCCTTCGGCGTGACCTTCTCAGGGAACGTGGGAATCGGGCCCGCCGCCGCCGCGTACTCATCGTCGCTGCCCAGCGTCTCGTTCACGACGATGTCGTCAGGATTCGGCGCCTTCTTCGCCTTTTTCTTAGCCGCACCCTTGCTGGATCCCGGGTCTCCGTCTGATGTCCGCTTCTTGTTGCTTGTGCGGTGACGAGCAGGGGCCTTAGCAGGGGCTTCCGCGACCTTGGCTTTCCCCTTCTCCGCAGCGGTGAGTATCGGGCGACGCTCCTCCCCCGAACCGTCGTCGTCAGTGAGCACCACGCGGGCCCGCTTCGACTTTGACTGTAAGCGATGGCGCAGCCTCCTCTTCAGTAGCGGAACCTCGTCGTCGGTCCCAAGGCTCCATGGGTCGTCGTCGCCGCCTTTCACATCAAATAAGACGGCATCCGCAGCAACCTTGTCCGACTCCGCCACAGCATCCGCATCCGCAGGCGCAACTGTCTCAAGTTCCGCCCTCGCCTCGTCGTCAGCCTCCTCATTCGCATCCACCGCCGCTTCTTGTGCATCCGCCGCTGCCTCCGCGTTATCACCATGCGCATTTTCACCTCCGTCGTTGTCGGAATCACCAGCCCGCCACTCTTCCACCTCGTCGTCGCTCCCGACCGGCCGATTCCACCATTCGTCCTCCTCGATGTCGGCAGGACCTAATTCGTCGCCCGAAGTGCTATCGTCGTGACCGTTCTCCGGCCAATCCTCCTCGACGTCGTCGCCGTTCGCTTCGTCTCCGTCGTCCCCGTCACAGCTCGCACCGGAGGCGGCGGTAGGACTTCCCGCCTTGCTCGCGTTCTTCGCCATGGCTACACGGATGTCATCGCCGGGCGAGTTAATTCGCCCGTAGTTATTCACATGCACGTGAAGACGAGGTGAGGACTTGCCTACAAGTACTTTGCTACGCATGGTTAGAGAGTCTGCCGAGAGCAAGGTTGAGACGAGTATTCAACCTCCTTGAGCACGAAATGAAGTGAGAGCCCGACTACTCCCCCCAGCCAGAGTGCCCCATCCATAGGTGCTGAGCCGCTCCTCTACGAGGCATCTCCTCGTAGAGGATAGCCCTCACGCTGCCAACTGTCGGAATTATGTTGTTATAACTGCATGTAGTTCTAACGTTAATGTAGTTATCGTGATATCCTGTTTGGTGGTGTACCCCCTTTCCTACCCTATATGTTGTGATCCTGTCCATAGTGAAACCCTTCTTCTCTCTCGTTATTCTCCTTCTACCCTAGGCTCCTAAGCCTAGGGATTCTAACATGGTATCAGAGCAGGTTCTTCCTAAGGACCTAAGTTCATTTTTTTATTTTAAGACATGGCTGCTGCAGCATCCGTTAAGGCGCCCGAGGCGCCTGCCCATCCCGTCCCGTCGTCGCCCTGCTTTTCTACCCAATCTGCACTACCCGCAGCCCGATTTTCCCCTGCGCGCAACCCGTTTTCCCTTGCGCACAGCTCGTTCTGCCCCGCGCGCAGCCCGTCCCGTCGATGCGCGACCCGTTTCGACCGCGCGCAGCCCGCCCAGCGCCTCGCCAGGCGCCTGCGCGGACGCCAGCGACGAGCGCCAGCGCCACGGCCAGCCGCGAGCGCCAGCGCCAGCGCGGACCGCCGGCGCCAGCACCTGCGCCCAGCGCCAGTGCCAACGTCTGCGCCAGCGCCAGGCGCCAGCGCTAGCGTCAGCAGCAGCTACCGCCGCCCCCCCCACCCGCCCTCCCTTCCGCGACTTCCGTCGTGGGGAGGGGGGGAGGGGGAGACGTGGGGTGGCGGGTGTTAACCACCAGCAGGCCGTCCCTCCCTTCCCTCTTCCTCTCTCCCTGCAACACTTGGTTCTGTGGGGGGGGGGGGGGGGGAGAGAAGTTGAGGGGGGATGAGAGTAATCTGTTTTGTTTCTCTCTCGTTCTTCTCCCTCTCTCTTCTGTTGCATCTCCAACAACCGCCACTGCTACTGTGGCGCCTAATTCTGCAGCCCCTGACGCCACTCTCTCTTCGTTCGTCTTACTTTGCTGTTGAGCTGCAGGCGTTGCCGTTGAGCCCTGCGTTGCCGCCACCCTTTCTAGCCGCACGCACCTGCTCCCCAGGCTACTTGTGCCACATGCACCTTCTCTTTGTTTCTTTCTTGCCTCAGGGCTTACTGCAGCTGTCTCTGCAACTACTGCACTGGTTGTCATTGCTCTTGCATGCTGTTGCTTTGAGTACACCTGCAGGTTGTGTTCTACACTTTGCTATCTCTGCATGCAGTTATGCGGGGATGTCAGAATTATGTTGTAATAACTGCATGTAGTTCTAACGTTAGTGTAGTTATCGTGATATCCTGTTTGGTGGTGTACCCCCTTTCCTACCCTATATGTTGTGACCCTGTCCATAGTGAAACCCTTCTTCTCTCTCGTCATTCTCCTTCTACCCTAGGCTCCTAAGCCTAGTGATTCTAACACCAACGTGCTACCAGCAGCGTTCTGGAAGCATCCCTGCGCCGCTGGCAGCAAAACGACGCTGGCAGCATAATGATGCTGCCAGCACAGAGGAATGTTGCCAGTGGTGGCAGCTCCCTCACGTGGCAAGTGTGGGCGCTGCATGCATCACCACCGAGGTCGGCATGTTTCAATGAATCTGGTCCTTGGGTGGTTTCTACACACTTTGCAAGTGTTACAGTCAACTTTTTTTTTTTCATTTATAAGACTTATAAGACACCCTAAACCATCTCGTTTACAAGATAACTCAAGCATTTTTGCCCGTGTACGAGATAAGACATAAATGTTTTATATCCGGGCGATGACGGTAGATACTATGATTGTGTTTGTACAGTACCGGTAAGTGGAATTAGCACCTGAATGGAGTACCCAATGTAAAGGAGCACCGAATGTAAAGAATATGAAAATGGTATTCACGCCAACAGGTGCCATTGGCAGTGCTGATCTGTCAAATTGTATATATGCCATATATGTTTAGGCTGTAGTGGGGTAGCCAATATGGGGTACAGCCCCTTCTAGGGTTTCATATTTGTACCCAACTCTTTAATAGTTCATTCATTCCTGTTCACTCTTCTAACATGGTATCAGAGCAGGTCCTAGCCTAGGACCGATTTCTTAGGGCCCACCGAGTAGCGCTACCCCACCCGTCGCGCCACTGTGATCGCGCCACCTGCTGCAGCGCGCCCTGCTGAGTCGCGCGCCACCTGCAGCAGCGCGCTCTGCCCTGCCGTGCCTGCGCGCCGCACCGCCGCGCGCCCTGCCCTGCCTGCGCGCCGCGCCGCCGCGCGCCCTGCTCTGCCTGCGCGCTGCGCCGCCGCGCGCCCTGCCCTGCCTGCGCGCTGCGCCGCCGCGCCACCGCGCGCCCTGCCCTGCCTGCGCGCCGCGCTGCCGCGCGCCCTGCCCTGCCTGCGCGCCGCGCCGCCGCGCGCCCTGCCCTACCTGCGCGCCGCGCCGCCGCGCGCCCTGCCCTGCCTGCGCGCCGTGTCGCCGCGTGCCCTGCCCTACCTGCGCGCCGCGCCGCCGCGCGCCCTGCCTTGCCTGCGAGCCGCGCCGCCGCGCCCTGCCCTGCCTGCGCGCTGCGCCGCCGCGCGCCCTGCCCTGCCTGCGCGCCGCGCCGCCGCGCGCCCTGCCCTACCTGCGCGCCGCTCCGCTGCGCGCCGTGCCCCGCCTGCGCGCCGCGCCGCCCACACCCAGCTGCGCCGCCCGCGCCCTGCAGCACCGCCCGCGCTCTGTAGCGCCGCCCGCACGCCCTGCTGCTCGTCACCGCCTCGCACTATGGCCACCCTTCGGGTTCTTTCCTTCGACACTGAGGGCCGCCCTGTAGAGTTTGACGCCTGGCTCGATGACTTGCAGCTCTACCTCATTAGCACCAGCAAAGATGAGATCTCCCTCTTTGACCACACCTCTGGTGCCCTAGCCGCTCCTGCTGACACAGCTGCCCTTAGCGAGCGCTCTCAGTGGCTGACGCGCGATGCTGCTGCCCGCCTAGCTATTCGCAACCACTTGCCGCTAGCGGAACTCAAGCACTTTGGCGAGCACAAAACCGCTAAGGCCCTGTACGACGCTGTAGTCGCTCGCTACTCCTCCCCTGCCACTGCTGCGCTCAGCCGTCTCATGCTGCCGTACCTGTTCCCCGAGCTGTCGAGCTTTGCCACTGTAGCCGACCTCATCACCCACCTTCGCTCTAGTGACGCTCGTGTCCGTGCCACACTCCGCAAGGAGTTTGTTGCTCAGCACCCCCCTCCGATGTACTGGACGCTCCACTTTATAGTGTCCCGCCTCCCTGACACCCTTCGCTCAGTCAGGGACCACTTCCTAGCGCGCTGTCCCTCCGACCTCACCATAGACCTCCTAGAGGAGCACCTCTTAGCCGCTGAGAGCACCATTGTGAGTGTGGCTGCTGCTCGTGGCGCTCCTCGCACCCCCATCTTTGAGGGGTGCGCTTCTTCCCCTCTTGCCCCGTCCTACGCCACTACTGCCGCTGTAGACTTCCTTGGAGCCGACTCGGTTGGTGCTGCCTCTACCTCTACCGGGCGGCGCCGCACCGGCAAGGGCAGGGGGGGCAAGGGCGGTGGTGGAGGTGGCGGCTGAGGAGGAGGTGGAGGAGGTGGGGGTGGCGGTGGGAGTGGAGGCAGTGGCGCCCGGAGTACTGGTGGGAGTGGCAGCAGCGGTGGTGGAGGTGGTGGTGGTGGCGGCGGCGGTGGGAGTGGCGGTGGTGGAGGTAGCGGTAGTGGTGGAGGCAGTGGAGGTGGTGGCGGTCGTGGTGGAGGCACTGGTCAGCGACAGCAGCAGCAGCGGTCCCTTACGCCTCAGCAGCTTTGTGAGTGGTTGGCTCAGAGGGGTACGTCTGGGGGTACTCGCTGTCCGTATGTCATTCGCACCGGTGAGCGTTGTCGCGTTATTAACACTTAGCTGGCAACTAAGTGTGAATATCACAGCAGCCTAGGTGAGGGTATACTATAGTTTACCGCTTTTGTACTCTAATTTCATTTGTGTGCTTGGAGTGTATTGTACTGTACTGCAGAGCCGAGTAGCTGGGGAATTTGAGGTGGTTAGTGGGAGGCGAATTCAAGGAGGTTGGTGGAGACGAATTCAATTCCAGCCTGTGAATTCAATTTCGAAGTCACCAGGCTGGAAGGCGAATTCAATGCCAGCCTGGGAATTGAATTCGAAGTCACCAGGCTGGAAGGCAGTGCATGCCTAGTGGGCCCAGTGGGAACACAGCTAGCACCTTGGAGACATCGCGAGCAGCCCGGCTGACTCGCTTGGTGCACAGGAGCTTGCTTGTGGAGGAAGCAACCTAGGCAGGGGGTGGGAATAGATGTAGGCAGGAGTAGCACTCGGGCTTCTTGCTTTTTGCTTGTATGTTTCTCATTTACTGCAATTTGTTTTCCTAATCCAGAGGGAACTAGCAGTAGGAGAAGCTATAAGCAATTTGACGGAGCCCCTGAGGGGGAGTGTTACGCTTGCTACATACAAGCAAAAAGGTTGTTGACTGTCTTAAGTGCAGGAGATAAGCTAGTAGCCTCGATTCGCTCACGGTGATGCGCCGTGAGGAATGAGTAGGCACGATCAAGAACTGCACACTCATCAGCTGCGCTCGGGACTCCGTTTCCCTGCAAGGATGATGGAGGGACAAGGACTACCCATCAGGACACCTGGATTCCGTGCTGAAGAGGGCGATGCTAACGCGCGCGGGGGTCAGGGATCAGATCGAGAGAGGGAGGGCGACCGACAAGGGGAGCCGCCGCCTAGCGCTACTGGTGGATCAGCCGCTGGCGGGAGTGGAATCGGCCATGTGAGGAGTGGATCTCGAGGGGATAATCCTGCTCAAGGAAGAGAAGAGTTTCGGGAAGAACGGCACAGTCAGCGCGGGGAAGATGAACATCACGAAGAAAGACACCGTCAGAGAGGAGGAGAAGCGTACCACAGCTTTGCGGCGGG